ATCTTATTACAAGAAACTCATTATGTCCATACCTTTGTGTGATCACGTATAACAAACAACAGTGTTTTCTTTTGGGCCTTGAATAAACGCTTCATGACCTGAATACAAGTTCATAGATTATCACATATAACATATAGAGGCACAATGCGTCATGTTTACCATAGCCAAATGGTTAGAGGGCTGGCCTCGCTATCAAATTATGTTGGGTGCAGTACTTAATACATCACACACAGAACTAAACGAATAAGCTAAACAATTCTGACAAAATGGAGTAAGTTAGTAGGGAATATGGAGGAGAAGGCTCTTTGTACATATTCTAAGCATGAGAAATTGGTAGATGTACTGGATATGGAAGAGGCTGTCAATGTTCATACATTAGAGTATTACATATTCCTCCATTTATAGCTTTTACAAACTGGCTTATCTAAGTTTATGAAAAATATAGTTAACCAATCAAATGCTACTAAACATGAGACAATCCAAACTTGACCATCTAAAGAATTGGTTCAGTTACTTGATAACAGCCAATCACTTAGGCTAATGCAGAATTCTTTTGAATGTGAAATACCTGGAAAACTGTTTTTAAAAGGGGTCTACTGGCTGCATGTTCCAGACCTATGTCTTTGCACCACCTGCATGTGATTTTCAACACAAAGCCAAAACATTGAGTTGAATCCTTGCTTGAGAGGTCATGTCTCGTCTAACAAAACTTCAGCTCTAAATCTCCATTTAAAAGCCTTAAAATCTAGGTTGACAATTTGAAAGTGTCTGATTTGTTTTAAGGCATGATACCATATCAAAGGACTATCTCAACCCAAAAGCTTAAGCTATTGGATAAGGCCACAAGATATGATTTATATTACTCTCTAACAGCTAGCATAAATGAGATTATGCGTTAGAGAGAGCTACATACAGAGCTCAATTAGAGAGTGGAGCAAGAATAATGTTTGAATGCTTGTATTTTGTTAGTGTATTACAAATAAATTGTAGTGAGTGTTGTGAGAGCTATTATAATTGTACTACTAGTTTGCCATCATTAGTGGTATAATAAACTCATGCCCCTATTTAAGCCTATCAAATTACATCACCTCAAACTCTACATGTGGTACCAGAGATACGCTAAACTCAACAATATGGGCCAATAATTGCATAGCCAGAGCCGGTCTTGGCCACTGCCAATCCAGGTGTGGACGTAAATCAAATTTGTCAAGCAGAAAAGACGTCCAAATTCTATAATCATGAACATATAAAACTCACATGTTTATCAATACAATGTCCGCAACTGCCAAGGCAAATAGGGTACTTTGTTTCTCGAATGCAGTGTCTTCCTGAAAAAGCACATATTCCAAATTACAATCAGTGCCAAAGAGAGAATTCTTATTAAGTTCATCTGGCTTTGAATAAGCATCACATTCACAGCTTGAGACAATTAAGTAATGCAACCAAAAATATAGGAACCATTCAGCATTAATTATCTGGCCTCAGCAGGATTCCACAAAAAATTACAAAATTTTGGAAATGGGAATCAGTTTCGAATATCACATATGTTGAAAAGAATTTAATGTGAAAATAAAACTCCGCCCCATTCACAAAGCAAAGCTAAAATAATAATAGTACCAATACAAAGCTCTAATGAAAGTACCTCGCCTCTTTGATTGCTGTCGGTTCCTTCGAAATCCATGGCAATTGTGAAAGGGTCAATATCGTTACACTTTGCAATCCAAATGCCCTTGGTTGTTTGACCTCTGAAACATAAATAATTAGATTGTCTTCCTCTATTATTTATACAAAGCAACAAAGAACTAAAAAAAATTATTAATATATATAAATCAAACCTTCCTTTGTATGCATCCATCTCCTTGAAATTGGTATGGAAGATCTGATTCAGTAGGGTGCTTTTCCCTGTTCGCAAATAATTGCAAATAGTGATCATGGATTAAAAGAAACACAAAACTAACCAAAAATAATTAACACAAATCTTAAACGCAAAATCAATTTCATAAATGATATCCTCCAAGATGAAACAACCTAAATTAATTCACTGATCTTGTGTACTTAAATTCTACTAAAACAATGCATTAAAAAAGCTGAACTCAAAAGAACACAAACTTACCGCTACTTTGCGAGCCAATGATGGCAACAATAGCATAGGAGAGATGGGACTGAGCGAACTCGGTAGTCGTCATGAAGTCTTGGAGTCCTTCCATGTTGAACTTGCCATTTTCATCAATCAGCTGCATGCCTTCCTCCATTTTCATTACCGATCGAACTCGAAAACAACAACAACAACTTTTGAAGTCGTCCTTCTTAGGATTGTGTTCTTTAGGATTGCAAAGGAATCTTACAAACCGGAAAGTGCAGAGACCTTATCAGACCCCAGTAAAATGCTAAGTAAACTTTTTGAGTCTAAAAGACGACTGCTTCGGGAAGAAGTTTTCGGCTTTTGTGAGTTTTGACGCCACTAAAGAATATTTGAAAAAGCACATATTCCAAATTACTAGCAGTGCCAAAATTTCCGCATTGTACAAGTTGGATGAACTCAAAAAAGAGAATTCTTATTAAGTTCATCTGGCTTTGAAAAAACATCACATTCACAGCTTTCATGTCCGTTAACGGATAATTTGACGGAGGGACTGCAGCTGTTATGTCAATTTGGCCCAAATTTATTGGGTTAATATTTGCAGGCTCCTTTTCCTCTTGATTATGTCTTTATGTTTTTCGTGGCAAATCGAATTATGCTTTCGATTCAACTAATATTAAGCGTAAACAGAATTACAGTTGGATACAATGCTGTTACAAAGAAACTAAAAGAAGCGAGGATTTATTGAAACTTAGTTTTTTTTTTTTTAATTTTCAAATTGTTTTATTTAATCCTTAAAATTTTAAAATATATATTTTAATCTCTTAGCTAATGCACTACGCATGTTTTTTTAGTTTTCTTATCCCTTGATTTTTTTCATTAATTTATGTTTTTTTTATATTGACTAGGTGTTAAAATTTTTAAAAATAAATCATTATTTTTTCACGTAAACTAATGATTATATAATATATATAATATGTTTTTAGATTTTAGAATAAATATACACTACTCTTATTGTTTCAAATTGATTTTTGATTTATTATAAAAATTCTTATCAAGTTAATTTTTATTCTTATTTTTTATATAATTTTATTTATTAATAAATATGATTTATTTTCTCTATGTATGGATTCGAATAAGTTTTTTTTTATATCTTATTTTATTTGCTTAATTCTTATATAATCAAATTTTAAAAATAGAATATATGTATTATATTTTCTTATTCTTTATATAATCAAATTTTATTGAAATTAATTTTATAGTTTTTATTACATTTTATTAACTTCAACATGTTTTTTACAATTCAATTTTTTAAATTATTTTTCAATTTATTCTATAAATTCTCACCCTTTGAGTACGAGTCATAATGTATAAAAAAATAATAATAATAAAGTCGTTGGTTTTATTAGAAATTAACTATGCAATTACACACATAATACCAACTATTTGTCATTATTTTTTAATATTTTAAAATAATTTTTTCAAATAAAATAATATTTTAGAATAAGCGCCTAATAATTCAAATACAATTTTGTATAATAATATTATTCATTATTTTCTAAACAAATATATATAAATCAAATGTACATATTTAAAAAAATAATCTTCTCATCGGTAAAAAAAGCTTTATTTGTTAATTTTCATATAAGTTTTTTTATTAATTGTTGTTTTATTTCTTCAATGCGATGTTATAAAAAAAATATTAAAATGTTTTTTTTAAAATTTATAGTAAATTTTGTTTATTATGGGTTTTTATTTAAGAATAAATGCATAAGAAAGAACAAATCATATTTTTTGACTTCAAAATTTAATTATTTTTAATTGGTATTAGTAAAACCACTATTAGTTAGGACTTTGGATTTTTTTTTTTTCATTTTATAGATACTAATTAATTATTTTAACTTGCTAAAAAATTTTGAAAACTTATTTTAAACCAAAAATTACATTTTCACATATTTAGTTGGTATGTGTCACCACATGACTAGTCGGACATTAATTAAATGATAAAATTTAATCAATCCGATGGAAAAAGTTAACGGAATGACTGATTTATTTTAAAGTTTAGTAATACAAGATTTGTTTTGTATTATATCCAAATAGAGGGTTAAAATAAACATTTGTAGGTAGAACAAGAACAAAATGTGTATTTAATCCTAAAATTTAAACTGTAATTCATTTTAAAAATTGAGAAAGTGATCCCTCGTATAATCTATAAATGGATTTGATCTCTCTTAGCATTAGTTTTTGGGTTTCTCTTGTCATGATTTTGGCCCTAACAAAACTAACATATGCAGACACTAATAATAATTTTTACTAGTACCAATAAGTTTTTAAAAAAATCTTTCAATAAAATGAGAGTGACATGACTTTTTACAACTGAATGTGACCTCAAGAGACATAAAGCGTCTTTATCTTTAACTACATTGTATACATGCAATCCAAGTCTTTCTGGTTAGTTAACAGACCCTCCAATGATCAAGTTAAGGGTTAAGAGGAGAGAAATGTCTAAATAAGCTTTGTAGAATGTTTTTGTGTGTGAATGACGAAAAAGATGATTACGAGGCATTTTAAAGGTACAAAGAATTGTAAAAGAATTGAGAACTTCGAGGCTTAGAGCTCTTGGTGGTTAGGGCACTATCATAAGCAAACTTATGGCCAATTGCACTCTTGGGAGAAGTAGAATCATCCATTCTTCAAACACAGATAATAGGAAATGCATGCTCTTTGAGGCTCCTGCAAGATGATAGGAAAGTGACGTGCGTCATTCGGACCCATCAAATGTTATCAAATCTCATGTTACGAACTTCTTTCCTCCATAAAGATGTTGCATGGATTGTTGTAAATACAGATATCAACGGTCATTGTCAGGATTTATTATGAACCAAAAAAAAAAAGTTTAGATTTATTAATACTACTGTTGTCACCGCCTTGTCGCTCTTGCAAAAAACGCAATTCCGGCAACAGGCCCTGCTATTGCTATCCCTAACCCCGTCGCAAGACCTGTCAAAATTTCGTTGCGAGTTCGCCTGCGAGCATCCTGAAAAGCACCAAGTATTACATGTAGAGTGCTGGATAAATTCCAAGTCATAAGAAACTTTAATCAGCATGAAATATATTATTGGTTCGGTGCTTAAGTTTAGAAGCATAGGAACTTTAATAGGCACATGAAATTGAACATGGCAAATGATAAACTGAAAATGTTATAACAAATTAAGTTTGAAGTTTTTGCTTTCAGGAAAAAAGAAGAAGAGACATTCAATTAGATATTGTGAATGCAACACAACTACCAAATGAAAATATAATGAGATACCAGAGTAAAATATACCTGACGGGATCTAGCTCCAGTCACAGTAGGCTTTATCTCTTTTTTGAACTTCATCCACAGTGACTTACAGTCCTTGGGTTTAAGTAGAGTAGTAGCTTTTGGAGAAACCTGCTCATATTTGATCTTATGTAAAACCAGTTTGACAGAGACTTTTATACAAGCATAGTGTACATTTGAATACCAAATGCATGCATACATGAAACTGAACACATATCTTACCTCTTCCCATGTGTCCGAAGCGAGGGGGTCCATAGTAGCTCCTATGCCTTCATCTTGGGAAGATGGAACAGCAATAGTTCCATCCATAAGAGAGGAAAACAGTACATTCTCAATCTGATCTGGCATATCATCTAAGCGCATGGCTGCCATGATTGATAGGAATTTCAAAGACTGCAACAAGATAACTGAGAGACATTCAGATGTTACTCAAAAGTATAACCAACTAAGCATCCTAGCAGCCATTAATTACAAAATGTAGGTAATATTACCCCAGAGAGCGCATTCCTTTCAATTTCATCAACGCCTTTTTCTGTAGTCCAATCATACCATGACACTGAGTTTTCAAACTGAATGAAAAACTCTGTGAACCTGGAATACGGTCCAAAGTTTTTAATACAAAAAGAAAAAGACACAAAAGGCTACAATTAAATACTCTACCTCTCCTTCATGTGCATCAGAACTCTCTCTGCATCTGCTGCTTCTCTTGCCTTTTTCTCCACTATATTTCTGCCAAACTCCCTCAAATGTTGCAATTTAGTGTTGACTGCAGAACTATGCAACTCCAAACTGACAACAGCATCTGAAAACTCTGATACAGTAGCCTCAGTTTTGCACTCAAGAAGATCTCTTATTGATGTCCATGTATCTCTTTCACCAGCTTCAATTAAGGACTCTACCCTTTTCTCAAGTTCATGAGTGAGATCTTTCTGCATAGGAGTAACATATCAAGATTTGATAATTTGATTGAGTAGAGTGACATAGTATCATGAACATTAATTGATTGTGATATCAGTGAAGGAAATACCTCGCCCTTTGCCATCAATTCTGACAACATGTAAAAAATAAGTTTTTCCCGGAATTTCAAAGCATTCCACTCAATCTGTTGAATGGCAGCATCTGAGAGAGAATAACATCGAATGTAACTCACCAAATCCAGGAAACTTAATTAGTATATAACAGATGTTCACCAAGCATATGCACACAATTTTAACATCATAGAAGGACGAGCATTAGTAGCAATAGCTTAAAAAGTTGTAGTCACAACTTTTGAATCAAAGGAATGGATTTGGGCACAAGTCACAACCTTCACTTTTTTTCTACCTTTGGACCCGAAAATACTTGGTAAGAATAGAATCCAAAGAATTGGTCAACATCAGAGATAATGTCAAAGAGGTAATCTTTCTTTGTCTTCTTCAGTCATACACTATTACAAGAGAAGTTTTTAGTATTGAAAGTACTCAGAATTGAGATCCGATTCAAAATTGAAAAAAAATAGAAATAAAAAAAAATACAAAGGTTAAAAAGAAAAAGAGTTGTTTTTAGTGGTTAGAGTCTAAATACCTTCACATCCTTGATCAAACTGAGTATGCAAGATTGAGACCAGAGACGAAAAGAAGCAACATATTCTTGCCCTTCATTCAGTGACTCTTCCAGCCTAGTTTTAAAACTTTCAACTGTGTTGGAATACAAATGTACCAACATGGTAACATAAGTTTCGTGTACCACCTACATAATATATTGACACATTTTTTAGTTGATCAGCATATGAAACATATAAAAACACACATATGAACTCAAAAACAATTAAGTAAATCTTACTAGAATCAACACATACCAACCAAGATCACATCACAAGAATGATATAATCCAGCACCAAATGAGAAAGCTTACGGCAGCTACCTAATGGGGACTAGGGAGGTAGAGAAATTAAAGAGAGGAAATATACACGCTAAGGCCTCACCAACAATGCTTTTGACAACAACTGTCCCCGTTTTGCATTCCGTACTTCTTGATCAAAATAGATCACCTCCATCTCATATCTATTGAAAAGAAAATCACAAAATAAGAGATCCCAGATCAAGTTGAACAAGAAGTACACTCCAAGACCACAGGCACACAATGCAAGTAAGAATTAATTACTCTGGGAATCCAAGTGTAACTATTAATAATCAAAATTTCAAAACTTTCTCTTCATTTGAAGACAGACAAGCATGTGGTCGACTGATCAGCACTGAGAAGAAGTATTGAAACTGAAGAATCTTGAAATAGAACACTTTGACTAATAAACTGGTTTAGAACTTTTGACTCTTGGAGGAATATTGAATCTCACACAGATCTTACAAAGTTAACACATCATCATATAGAACTCACACCATAATGTACACTTACTCAGAAATATATCTTTCCAAAATAGAACTGACTTCTCCTCCAAATCCAGATACTGGACCAGCTTGAACGGCTTCTTTCATAGCTAACCAATCCTGTAAGAAATGAAATTAGCATTGGTTAATATCAAATTTCAGAAGTCAGAGAACTTTGACGAAAAAAAAAAAAAAGGAAAATTGATTCAATAAAGTACCGTATCGGATGTAAAGCGTTTGAGCTTTTCCTCGGCAACCTCTTCACATCGAACAGCAGCAACCATGACCTGATAAACAAGATGAGAAATACAATCATATAAGAAACCCTGATTATTTATAATTACAAAAGAAAATGGCTTTTAATAAACCTTGAGAGCAGGAAGATCTAGGTCCTTGTTATCTTTTATTGTTTTCCATATCGTCTCTGCCCGAATAGAAAATACTGAAGCAGGTTCAACTTCCCGCCTATCACCAACAAGACCTCCAGGATAAACGGAATGGACAAACCGCTGCCTCAGTTGAGCAACCTATAAGAGTCAATGCTATCAGTGAAATGAAGTTTTGGATTACAGATACTTGATTTCACACTGAATATTGCAGCCCTAATTGCTCCAACACGCATGAATCTACAAAATTATCTTATTGCATGACATAATGCTCTTTTCATCATCGTCATGTGATTAACTCTTAATGACTATCAAATACCCTATATTGCTTTATTTTACATGAGTTGGTGGTGAAATACCAGTCAAAGTACCAAATGTCTGTGATGCATGATCATCAAGTTTATATGCAGAATATATTACTGATTAACTACAGATTTCATTGGTAACTTTTAGATTAACTACATGAGTTGAAAAGATGGATTGGTGGAATAGAAGCACAACCTGTTACTCCCCAATAAATCTGACACGGGTCTCCAAAAAAAAAAAAAAGGCAAAGTTGTGAGAAAAACTCACAAAGCTCAATTTTTGTCATCAAATTCTCTAATTGCCAAAAGCTATTACATCTCTTTAAATAGGAAAACTAGAAAAGCTTAATAATATTGAATAGAAAAATAAAATAGAATCCTAGGGCACTAATTTCCTAATAACACTTGTCTAATTAGGGTAAGATATATTTTTGTCCAGAGCGTTTGTGGTAAGCTAGTTGGAAAATTAGGGTCAGTGTTTGACATATATGCAGACTTGGAATTGGTTACCAACGTGTTCAGAAGAATTCTAGCAGCTGAGATACTATAGCAATAAGAAAGAGAAGAAGAAAACAGAAAATATGAGAGAAGAAAACCTTAGGCACCTTAGCCTTCGGAAAATCAAAAACTCTCAATTTCGTTTCTTAATTCAACCCTTATGAAAATAAGATATTTTCTTTCTTTAGAGTTTAGATTTCCTAATTAGACAATGACTACTAAACAAGAATATTACAAATAGATTTGGCATAACTAATCCTAACTTGACAATGAAAATAATCAACTAGGAAGAAATTAGCAATTTCTTTGACACGATAATCTTAACCAAGACCATACCTTTTATCAATTTTGAAAATGAATAAAATACCACTATTTTGCAGGAATATGCTGCAATTTTGCCCTTGCATACAAAATCACTCATGACTTAAAACATAAAAACCCCTGCACAGGTGGCATAGTCGTCTCTCCTATCACTATAAAAAATCACACATAACTCATATTAAGACTTATTTCTAATTTTTTCTAAACACAACAACTCTCTAAAGTTCATAATTTCTCTTTCTAAATCTCTTACATATCTCTTCCACCTTTCATTTTCGGAAAGTTTCATGCATGTTCTTACCGAAAGATACCACATCTGGCTCTCCATACTTGCCGCACATATCCCCCCATTTATATGATGGTCAATGATTTTGAATTCCCGTTATTTGGTGAACATATTCAAAGCTACAAATCATTCAGGACTTTAATTCTAGGAAAAAGAAAAAAAAAATTAAAGCAGTAGCACACTCTAGAAGAAACACACGCAACAAACTTTAAGCAGTAGCACATTCTTAGTGTAAAAGCTACCTGCTGTTTAAACTTCTCCTCTTCAAATTCGTAGCTAGACAAAGCAGTGATCTCCACCTTCATGTCAATAATTTGAAGCAAATTAAGTTTACACCAAGTAAACAAAAAGGTAGCATATGAAGCACATGAGCCAATGGCATCAGTAAGGGAGATGGAGATGATATCATCTTACATTAAAAAAATCACTGAGAGCAGCACTTCCATGAGTCTCGGGTTCAGCAACTGCATCCCAAATCTGCAGAAATAATGACATCAGAAAATGCTTGAAAAACAAATAATTGACCCAAACAGATAAATAATATGGACAAAAGTACCTTCTCAATATCTTCTAAGAGAGTAGTCTCTAAATATTCAAAAGGCGTCTACATAGACAATCAGAGAGGGAGTATAGATTCAGCATTGGACAAAAAGATTCATTCAAAGAATGGAGCATGGTGTCCCTGGAATCTTATTACAAGAAACTCATTATGTCCATACCTTTGTGTGATCTCGTATAACAAAAAACAGTGTTTTCTTTCGGGGCTTGAATAAACGCTTCATGACCTGAAAACAAGATAATAGATTATCACATATAGCATATAGAGGCACAATGCATCATGTTTACCATAGCCAAATGGTTGGAGTGCTGGCCTCGCTATCCAATTATGTTGGGTGCAGTACTTAATATATCACACACGGGACTAAACGAATAAGCTAAACAATTCTGACAAAATGGAGTAAGTTGGTAGTGAATATGGAAGAGAAGGCTCTTTGTACATTTTCCAAGCATGAGAAATTGGTAGATGTACTGGATATGGAAGAGGCTGTCAATATTCATACATTAAAGTAGTACATATTCCTCCATTTATAGCTCTTACAAACTGGCTTATCTAAGGTTCAGAAAAAATATAGTTAACCAATCAAATGCTACTAAACGCGAGAAAATCCAAACTTGACCATCTAAAGAATTGGTTCGGTTACTTGACAACAGCCAGTCACTTACGCTAATGCAAAATGCTTTTGAATGTGAAATACCTGGAAAACTGTTCTTAACAGGGGTCTACTGGCTGCATGTTCCAGACCTATGTCTTTGTACCACCTGCATGTGATTGTCAACACAAAGACAAAACATTGAGTGGAATCCTTGCTTGAGAGGTCATGTCTTGTCTTACAAAACTTCAGCTCTAAATCTCCATTTAAAGGCTTTAAAATTTAGGCTGACGATTTAAAAGTGTCTGATTTGTTTTAAGGCATGATACAACCAACACGGAGAAAAGAGAAAAAAAAAAATCCACAAGTTCAAAACATGCAAAGTAACAGAAGCCTCATTTACAATTTTTTTGGGTCGTTTTCCCTAGCTAGACACACATCCACTCATCCTGCTGATTCAGATGAATTAAACAAGCCATGTTGATCTGATTATCTTGTAACAAATTCAGATGCATTTTGGTTGTTATTCATAAATCAAACAACAAACATAATGATGTTTAAGAGACCCCACTGGATAATTTAATTGCAATCATACAAATAAGCAATAACCCAAGATGCCTAACGATATCATTCGACAGCACAACAGAATTACAGGGATGGCTTCTTTTTTTTTTTTTTTTTTTGTTGCCAGACAGAGACATAGGGCCATGCCTAGTAAATCCACAAATACCAATGTATAAAAGAAAAAAATCACAACAATACTTAACACTGGATGTATATGTGTTGAAAGTGCAACACTGCCTCAAGCCACAATCGTTGACTTAGCAACTGTGTGATTGTGCTTCATTTAATGGTTACATATCTTGCTTACCTTCTTATTTACTGCATACGCATTTCGTATGGTAATTTTTTTTTCCTAGCCATATGTATTACCCTAGCTTCATGTAATGCGTTTTCAAGCCACTCTCTCTGCAATATCCGTATGTGGAGATTTGTTGCAGTTGGTTTTTTTGACATTTTAGTCACCCCAACAAGTATAAATAGGTGTACCTTGCTCTCGTTTTAGTAAGCTAATGTCAAAGGACCATCTCACCCAAAAGCTTAAGCTATTAGGTGAGGCTCCCGGGATATGATTTACATTACTTTCTAACACACCCTCTCAAGTAAAAGCCCAAACATTGAGCTTGAAACTTGCACAAGTCCACATTGCCTTGTGCTTAATACTTAAGAAAGTTGGGGTGGTGAGACCTGAACTCAGGACCAATTGGTCAACCAAGCTATGATACTATATCAAAGGACTATCTTAACTAAAAGCTTAAACTATTAGGTAAGACCCCGGGATATGGTTTATGTTACTCTCTACATACAAAGCTCAATTAGAGAGTGGCGTGAGAATAATGTTTGAATGCTTGTATTTTATTAGTGTATCACAAATAAATTGTAGTGAGTATTGTGAGAGCTATTACTAGTTTGCCATCATTAGTGGTATAATAAACATGTGTCTCGATTTAAGCCTATCAAATCACATCACTTCAAACTCTACATGTGGTATCAGGGATGTGCTAAACTCAACAATATGGACCACTAATTGCATAGCCAGAGCCAGTCTTGGCCACTGCCTACCCAGGTGTGGACGTAAATCAAATTTGTCAAGCAGAAAAGGCATCCAAATAGTATAATCATGAACATATAAAACTCACATGTTTATCAATACAATGTCAGCAACTGCCAAGGCAAATAGGGTACTTTGTTTCTCGAATGCAGTGTCTTCCTGAAAAAGCACATATTCCAAATTACAAGCAGTGCCAAAATTTCCTCATTGTACGAGTTCGATGAATTCACAAAATGAGAAATATTATTAAGTTCATCTGGCTTTGAATAAGCATCACATTCACAGCTTGAGACAATTAAGTAATGCAACCAAAAATATGGAACCATTCAGTATTAATTATCTGGCCTCAACAGCATTCCACAAAAATTACAAAATTTTGGAAATGGGAATCAGTTTTGAATATCGCATATGTTGAAAAGAATTTAATGCACTAATAAAACTCTTCCCGATTAACAACCCAGAGCTAAAATAATAATAGCACTACTACAAAGCTCTAATAAAAGTACCTCGCCTCTTTGACTGCTGTCGGTTCCTTCGAAATCCATGGCAATTGTGAAAGGGTCAATATCGCTACACTTTGCAATCCAAATGCCCTTGGTTGTTTGACCTCTGAAACATACTTGATTAGATTGTCTTCCTCTAATATGTATACAAAGCAACAAAGAACTATACTATATATATATATATATATATATATATATCAAACCTTCCTTTGTATGCATCCATCTCCTTGAAATTGGTAAGGAAGGTCTGATTCATTAGGGTGCTTTTCCCTGTCCACAAATAATTGCAAATAGTGATCATGGATTAAAAGAAACACAAAACTAACCAAAAATAATTAATTGAAATCTTAAATGCAAAATCAATTTCACATTCAAATAAAACAATCAATGGTCATAAATGATATCCTCCAATATAAAATGAACTAAACTAATTCACTGATCTTGTGTACTTAAATTCTACTAAGACAATGTCATTAAAAAAAGCTGAACTCAAAAGAACACAAACTTACCGCTGCTTTGCGGGCCAATGATGGCAACAATGGCATAGGAGAGATGGGACTGAGCGAATTTGGTGGTTGTCATGAACTCTTGGAGTCCTTCCATGTTGAACTTGCCATTTCCATCAATCAGCTGCATGCCTTCCTCCATTTTCATTACCGATCGAACTCGAGAACAACAACGACAGCTTTTGAAGTCTTCCTTACTATGACTCTGTTTTTGTGGATTGCAGATGAATATGACAAACAGGAAAGTGGAGAGACCATATATAAGCCCAGTAAAGTACTACGTATACTTTTTTAGTCTAACAGACGACTGCTTCGGGAAGAAGTTTTTGGCTTTTTTGAGTTTTGACCCCACTCCAAAGAATATTGAAAGACTTTTTTTTTTTTTTTTTTCTGGATAACGTCCGTTAGCGGACAATTTGACGGAGGGACTGCAGCTATTATGTCAATTTGGCCCGAATTTATTGGGTTAAAAAGAGTAACAGTTGGATAGTTACTGAATGATTAAACGCTATACTATATACTACGCAAAAGAAGCCGTTGTAGCTTTTTTATATTTTATTTCCGGGATGAAAATCGATTAGATTATATATATATATTCGTGTGTGACAAAAGAAAAACAGTCAAGCAAAATAATTTTTATGTCTATCTATTTCTTACTTAACCAAAACTATTTGTAACTATATTATCGTATTTATTAGTTTTATTAAAATTAACTAATTTCGTATCATGAATATAAAAATAGATACTTATAAAAATATTATGCATTCTTCATGTCTTCTCATTAGCATTTAAATGAACTTAAAGCATTATATTCACTAAATCAATTTTTATGATTCATTTTATATCATGAGAAAAATAACATAAAAAAAATATTTATAAAATTTTATTAATAGTAAAAGTCAAACTAGTTAAAATTCTTAATATATTGGAAATTGTCATAACTCAAATTTGGGTTACAAATTTATTATTATTATTAAAAGAAAAAAAAAAGTCAAAAACAAAAAAAAAAAAAAAGAAATTGATCAATTTTACTTTTAAGGATTTAATTGTGATTTATTTTAAAAGTATTATGGGTCAATTTATAAATATCAGAAAGTTAAAGAAAACATGGAAAGAAATTAAGAGGGGATTAGGAACAATTGAAACTAAATGGACTAAAATAATTATAAAAAATGACTTAATTGCAGAGAAATTAAAATTGAAAAGGACCTAATTGAAAAGAGGGAGCGAACAACAGGACTAACTTGACACTTTGGCCATGGACCACCTGTCGTTCGCAAGTTGAATTGATTAATACATTCCACTATTCCTCTTCTTTCTTTTGAAAGAAAGGAACAGTGGCATGCGAGGGACTTTTTTACATAATGTAACAAACGTCCCTCAATAACCATTTTTTCGGACCTCCACTCTCCCTGTAACTGCCCACTCTCCACCACCTTCCCTTCAATAACCCACGACCTCCACTCTCTAACACCTTGCTGACAGACGTCCCTTCCTTTCAATAACCCACGACTTCCACTCTCCATGATTTTCTACACAAAGCTCCCCACAACGATTGTAAGTCACCCATTACCAGATGCCCACTCTCCATAATCTTTCGAAGCCTATAAATAGTAGCAAAAAAAAAAAAGGAGAAAAGAAAGGAGACCGAGAGGAAATATAAAGAGAGAAAGAGAAGAGCACGAAAGAAAAGAAAAGGAGCATAACAAAGAGGGAGATAACGGCAAAGAAAGAAAAGGAGAGAGGCAATAAGAAACAGGAAGGAAAGGGAGAGTAAAAAAAAAGGGAGCAAGAAACAGAGAAAAGAAAAGAAAACAGGCAGGCTTAAAAAAAAGAAGGCATTATTTTCGAGTTCTGTAACTAGCTATCTGTTCCATTTCGTTTTCAACATCTCATTCTCTTGCAGACTCAACAGGTAACTCTATAGCCTTTTCTTCTACTCTGACATATCAATATGTCTTAAATTTGTTGAAAGTTACTATCATTGTATGATATGTAAAAATTATAACAAGTTGTTTATGGTTTTGGTTAGTAAGGCATGAAAATTAATGTAGTAACCAAGGGAGCATGGTGATACTTAGTTGCTTGCTTTGTGGATGAATTTTAACTGGTCAGGTTGAAAAAAAAAACGAATGATAAGAGCAGTAGACATTTTTTATCAAAAAAAAAAAAAAAAAAGATTTTAATTCTTGTTTGTGGGCTTCTTTTCTTCTCTTTCTTTTTTCACCCAAAGAAATACTAACCCATTTAATTTTAGTTCGGCTTAGTTTGAAATAATAGGTCTAACCCAGCCCAAGGAGAAAATAATAAGGGTTAGATTGTCCAACCCCTTTTTGGCCAAACCTCCAATAGGCCCACTGTCAAAAAAAAAAAAATTATGTAGTTTGTTTTATTTTACTTATTCATGTTTTTATTTTACTTTAGATGATTTATATTGAATTTTTTTATATATGTTTATGTCTTGTTTAATTTTTTTTTATATATATATTCTCGTTTTTTTGAAAGTTAATTTTAATTTTAGAATTTTAATTTCCATAACTAATTTAGATAACTAAATGAGAGATAAATTATTGAGTCTCTTAATTTTTAGAGATCGATGATGATTTTTCTATCGAAAAAAACATAAAATAAAAAGTAGTTAATTCTTTTTATTAAGATTTCGTTTAATAGTTAGATCAATAATTAATAAGTGAGAAAATTATCAAATCTCCTAAATTCTTAGGGATCGATGATAGTTTTCCTTGAAGTGCCCAAAATTAGATTAAGTAGTCAATAAGTAGATAATTGTCAAGTCTCCTATTATTTTTTAGAGACCGATGATGATTTTTTTTTAACAACAAAAAAACAATAAATAAAATTTTTTTCCTCTCTCAATAACTAAGATGTTCTTCGATACATCGGTTGTGTCAAGACTCAAAAAGTAGATTCGATATTTGAACCGATGTGTCTCCCGACGAAGGGGTCCGACAATCGTTTCAATACGATGCCACGCTCAAAAAATAAAATTTTTTTGACTTGGAAAATTAAAGCTTTAAAACAAAAAATAATTTGACACAAATAAAACACTTTAGGAGATGAATTTAGGACTAAACCGGACATGATACCTTTTTTAAGAAAAGGCGTCTTTAGGTGATTTATATCTTCCCAAAGCGTAATCAACTCATTGGCTTAGAATCTCCGAACCAGGTGTCCATTTTAGGTTCCTAGCTCCTTCAATACTAGGTGACGACTCCAAACATATAAATAACTCGTAAATACACCAATCCTTAATTTTTTGGGAGTCCCGTCCGAAGTCGAGTAGTGACGGAATGGCGACTCCATCGGGGACATTAGAGTTAAGCCATAGTTTTAGTTTTTCAAATTCATCTTTGTTATTTGTTTTTATTGTCAAGTTATTTATTTTTCAAGTCTTTAAATTCCAAGTCATTTATTTTGTGCAATTTATTTTTATTTTGTTTGTTTGTTTGTTTATTTATTTATTTATTTTGTATATATTTCAAAGTCATTTGTGTTATGTAATTACTATAAATATTTTTTTTAATTTTTGTAATTTATTTTTTTGTATTGCATTTATTTGAACTGGGTTAGATATTTACTTTAAAATGTTGCATACACCATGAAGAAAACTGCAAAAGCTCGGACTCGAGCTAAACCCCACTAGGATTTAGATAGAGAGATCCGAAGGCAAGTATGATGAAAATCTACCGATGCTCTTCTAGACTCTTGTTTGGATTGGAACTCACCCTATGCATAGGAAATGATGGAATGATATTCCCCTACCTGCTAATGCATAAGGTTAAAGGCTAGATTACCCCATTGGTAATTTAGATAGTCCGAAACTTAAAAAGACTTTAGGATTAGACATGCTTGCCAAAACCATAGACAAGCATTAGCATGAATCATATCCACTAGGGTTGACCTATTAAGACATGAATTATTTCCAACTGATATCTATTCTTACCATGACTTTTACGAGGTTATCATTCACATAAATCATGATAGAACAAATCGAAATGAAGTCGAGGATTTTAAGGTTAGATCGGAGCGGGCTTAAATTGATGAAGGAGATTGTTTGCCTTTGAATTTTATGTCGGAACTACCAGAGAAAACTAGACTCGTCGATAAACTAGCCAACGTGGGACCACTCCTTAATTGTTGGGAGATGCTTACCTCTAAAGATAAGTTTGATTTTCGGAAGGTGTATGGCGACATAGCTCGATTGCTCAAGATTAAAGTTCGGATCTCTTGCTTTCAAGCCATGATAGAGCACTCGGGATCCGGACTACTACTCGCTTCATTTTTGAAAGTGTGGATATGTCGCCCACACTAGAAGAATACGAAGCTTTATTAGCATTTCTCGAAACAAAGGCGATCTACTTCTACAGTCCACCTAAGCAAGTCTGTAGCACATTTTGCATGGTTGATCGGAATGGATTTAGCTATCGTGGAAAAACAACAAACCATGAGGGGTAAGACCCAAGGCTGGTTTTAGAACTTTCTCCAACTAGAGTTCACAAAACATCTACGGGATTAGGATAACAGTTTCGGACTCGGAATCCTAGCACTAGGTATATATGGGTTAGTGTTATTGCCATCAACCGAGGGTATGATCGACTTTGAGGCGGTCAATGTGTTCAAAAGCGTGGTATCCCTCAAGGTTAATGTTGCTACTGCAATCTTGATAAAAATACTTTCATCCTTGAATTTCTGTTGGAAGGAAGTAGATGGACATTTGAGATGTTACGTTCTACTCGTTGTTTGTCCGGATGGTTAGCCACATAGTGACTCGAAAAAGCCTCCGGGATCTTTCGCACACCATGGCATTTACATTTCAAATTGGAGAACTTTGCAAGACACTCACTCAATGAGTTAGGAAAAACGACATGGTCGAAATGTTTTTCAGCTTAGAAAAGTCAGAATTCCATTAGAGGGCATAATATGCTTTGTTCCGTTCTTACTTGGCTTATCGTGGCAATCATCCTTGGGTACCATTAATTGGAGCTCGGTGTTGTATCCGCTACTCGTCCAAACATGTTCCTAAGACATTTAGGTTTTAAGCGAGTTCATCCCGAGAACTATAGGTTTAGTCGAGTACTACGAAGACTCGAAGGTTTCTAGAAAACTTTTAGGAGAAGCAAAGATCGCCTA